GTCAGGTTGTGGCTCCAGTTCAGCATGCTGGGTGAAATGCAAAATTGGAAAGGAAATGGGAATTTTCAACAGCTAATTTAAGCTCTTTAAAAGTTAGATTCATCTGAAAAATGTTGGTATTTGTAATGCAGATGGAAACCTGGAAACTGCACCAAGCCTAGGGTGTAGAGCCTTCTGGGAGCATGCAGATATCCCTTCCAGGCTTTTTGCTCCTGAGACTAGTGAATGGCAATGGCAGAGGATTGATGGATTGCCCTACCGTGGCCAGGACTCAGCAAGACATGAGCAGAATTGTTGCGGGGACACTGAGCAGCTACACCTTTAATTAAGACAACTTCTTTGTAACAAAAGTAAGGGCAGTAGCTGATCTCTCCCCTCTACCTCTACTCTCGCTGCCCTTAATTTCAGGTTTGCTTTCAAAGTAGATGAGCCTGTTATTAATACTTTGGAAAAAAAAAAAAATAAAGAGAGAGAGAGAAAAAAAAGATTCTTTCAAATGCTTTGAGTGAATTTACTGAGCTGCATGTTACTTCTCAGCATGCTTTCTTTGAGACAAACAGGTAAGTGTTCATTAGGGCTGGTTGAATTGTCCAGTGACATAGTTGAGAAAATGTGTGTGAATGGAAAGCAATGAGTTTGCTTTTACTCTGTGCCTGGAGCCCTGTAACCTGCAAAGATCTGCAACAGTCTCAAGAGAGGGGTGTCATTGAATCTAAGTTTAAATGTCTCTAGTGTGGGAGTTCAGTCTGCAGCAATTGTCTGGACTTATTTGAAAGCCGAAAGAGAGAAATAGGCATGTCTTCTTTCTTCTCTTCGGGTCAGCCTCTATAAGTGTGAAGTAAATCATGCTTTAGAGCTGCCTGTCTCTTCCAAGGGAGCACAGATAATTAGTTCAGTAGAGAACATTTACATTTTTGGATTTACCACACTAAGGAGTGAAGGCTCCCACTTGAACTGGTTGTAAGAAAATTCCATAATCTTAATTTTTTCATACATGGTTTGATTTTTTTTTTCCCTAAGCTATATGAATAAATATAGAAATTATGCCATGCATCTTTAACAAGGACTGGTTAAAATATTGTTGAACCCTGGATGCGTAACCATGTGCCTGTATTTAAATTAAATATAAGAGACAATGATAGAGGGTCATTTGTCATGATGGAATATTAAAATGAAACATTTCAGTCCACGATTTCACTGATAATGTCAAACACTTATGGGCTGGGATGAGTGACTTGGGTTGTAAACAAAAAAGCTTCCAACTTTCCTGGCAAAATATTTTCCTTTCCCTTAATAGTCAGGTTAGTAATATCTTCGTCACTTCACTGCATCTGTCTCCTCCTGTTCTCCTGTGGATAAAAACAAATGTTAGAAGAACAGCTTTTGGAGCAGTCCAATACATGCACATTTTCCTTGGCTGTTGTATTTCTCCCAGGGACTCAGAGCAAAACAGCCCCACGACTCTTCTCCTTCAACAAAGACCAAGGGATGACAGAGAGCAGCGCTTGCTGGAGGACAGACAGAAGCTTGCAGGCAGTGACCACAGGTTCCTGGGTAGAGCAACGGCATTTGGGGAGCTATTATGCCTCTCGCTGATCTGCTTGCCAATAAGGCTCAAAAAGAGTGTTCAACAGCCTTGTTATTGCTGTCAATTCTGTTCTCTCTCTCATCATTTCTGGACCACTGAGAGGCTAAAATATTAACCAGGACATTGATGAATTTGAAGCTGAATTCTTCTAATTTGTTCCTGGCTGAGTTCCTACTTGTATCCATAACTCAACTCCAGTTAATTCAGAGAATTTATGACCTTAGCCCTGTCAGGTGCTTTGAAAAGTCTCTATTGGTTCCCCATTAATGGGACATTTTTCCCCTTTCTGGAACCTATTACCTAAATAGGATTTTTTAATAGGGAAAAAATATATGTAAGTGGCCTCACTGCCTTCCTCCAGGCTTTCATCAGCAACAGCAGTGGGTCAGCCACAGAAACCTCCTGCAAAGAGAAGGTGCCTGAACACACGGCTGCCTGTAACTTGGGATTTTTTTTAGTCACCCACAGGCCTTCTGAGAGCTTGATCTTGTGATCTGGAAAAAAAAAAAAAAAATCTTTCTTTTAATCTCTGTCTTCCTTCTCTGTTCACCTATCAATTGATTTGACCTTTCAACTCCTTGTTGGAGGCTCGCTGTTGCTGTCATAGGACAAACCTGCCTTTATTTCTCCTCTTGGTTAATACGGCTCTACATCCTGTTTTATTTTATAAATTAGCATCTATCTATCTATCTTTCTATCTATCTCATTCTGTTTTTCTATATACGTCTATTTGCACTTAAACATTTCTCTAGTGTAGTATCTGAGTATCTCTCTGTTCAAAGAAATAAAATAAACTGGCAGAGAAAACATCATTGCCAGCTGAAAGTGTCTTAAGCCAGGAGTGCTACACTATCCTTCTGTTTCAGGAGGCAATGAACTCAGACAGAAGGGATGGAATAGGAGAATAACTCTGGGGGCAGTAAGGGCAGTGGGTTCTTCTTCTTGAAGAGTTCTTCAAACTCTTGCCTTTAGATCGTGTGGTTGCTCTTCTTCCTCTTGCAAGGTGGCTGTGCTCCTTGTGAAGCGTGGTGATCAGAGTATTGAGTGTAGGTTTGATTCAGTTTGTGGGGAGGACAGATATTTCCTATGTCTTCTCCTCCTTAATATACAGTCTTTCAAAGTTCATGGCCTTTCCTTCTGGGTGCAGGGTACCAAGAAGAACAGCCCTGGTGTTAAGACTTGCAGACCAAGGCTAGATCTGCATCCACCTCTGTCTGCCCAGGGATGGGGCACAGGTAGGTCTCTCTGAAGGGCCTGTAGGGTTAAAGGGACCTGCAACAGGGCTTGGATAAAGCAGTTTATCTGCCAATTTGCATTTAGAGGTGTCGTGGTTTACCATCCACGAAGAACTGGTTGGTGACCTGCTACGGCACTTGGATGTGCACAAGTCGATGGGGCCGGATGGGATCCACCCAAGGGTACTGAGAGAACTGGCAGAGGTGCTGGCCAAGCCACTATCCATCATTTATCAGCAGTCCTGGCTATCGGGGGAGGTCCCAGCTGACTGGCGGCTAGCGAATGTGATGCCCATCTACAAGAAGGGCCGGAGGGCTGACCCGGGGAACTACAGGCCTGTCAGTTTGACCTCAGTGCCAGGGAAGCTCATGGAGCAGATCCTCTTGGGAGTCATCATGCGGCACTTGAAGGGCAAGCAGGCGATCAGGCCCAGTCAGCATGGGTTTATGGAAGGCAGGTCCTGCTTGACGAACCTGATCTCCTTCTATGACAAAGTGACGCTCTGGGTGGACGAGGGAAAGGCTGTGGATGTGGTCTACCTAGACTTCAGCAAGGCTTTTGACAACGTCTCCCACAGCATTCTCCTCAAGAAACTGGCTACTCTTGGCTTGGACTGGCGCACGCTTCGTTGGGTTAGAAACTGGCTGGATAGCCTGGCCCAAAGAGTTGTGGTAAATGGAGTCAAGTCCAGTTGGAGGCCAGTCACTAGTGGCGTTCCCCAGGGCTTGGTGCTGGGGCCGGTCCTCTTTAATATCTATATCTTCATCAATGATCTGGACGAGGGCATTGAGTGCACCCTCAGTAAGTTTGCAGATGACACCAAGTTAGGTGCGTGTGTCGATCTGCTCGAGGGTAGGAAGGCTCTGCAGGAGGATCTGGATATGCTGCACTGATGGGCTAAGGTCAACTGCATGAAGTTCAACAAGGCCAAGTGCCCGGTCCTGCACCTGGGGCTCAATAACCCCAAGCAGAGCTACAGGCTGGGAGATGAGTGGTTGGAGAGCTGCCAGGCAGACAAGGACCTGGGAGTGATGGTGGACAGTCGGCTGAATATGAGCCAGCAGTGTGCTCAGGTGGCCAAGAAGGCCAACGGCATCCTGGCTTGTATCTGAAACAGTGTGACCAGCAGGGCTAGGGAGGTGATCGTCCCCCTGTACTCGGCTCTGGTGAGGCCGCACCTCGAGTACTGTGTTCAGTTTTGGGCCCCTCGCTACAAGAAGGACATGGAGGTGCTTGAGCGGGTCCAAAGAAGGGCGACGAAGCTGGTGAGGGGCCTGGAGAACAAGTCCTACGAGGAGCGGCTGAAGGAGCTGGGCTTGTTCAGCCTGGAGAAGAGGAGGCTCAGGGGTGACCTTATCGCTCTCTACAGATACCTTAAAGGAGGCTGTAGCGAGGTGGGGGTTGGCCTGTTCTCCCACGTGCCTGGTGACAGGACGAGGGGGAATGGGCTAAAGTTGTGCCAGGGGAGTTTTAGGTTAGATGTTAGGAAGAGCTTCTTTACTGAAAGGGTTGTGAGGCATTGGAACAGGCTGCCCAGGGAAGTGGTGGAGTCACCATCCCTGGAAGTCTTCAAAAGACGTTTAGATGTAGAGCTTAGGGATATGGTTTAGTGGGGACTGTTTGTGTTAGGTTAGAGGTTGGACTCGATGATCTTGAGGTCTCTTCCAACCTAGAAAAAATTCTGTGATTCTGTGATTCTGGTTTAACCCGGCTGGCAGCTAAACACCATGCAGCCATTTGCTCACCCTCCCCCCTCCCTCTCTGGGACGGAGGAGAGAAATGGAAAGTGAAGCCCGTGAGTTGAGATAAAGACAGTTTAATAAGACAGGAAAATAATAATAACAATAATAATAAAATAATAAAATGATGACAATAGTACTACCACTAATAATATGTACAAACAAGTGATGCACAATGCAATTGCTCACCACCCGCTGACTGATGCTCAGCCTCACCCCGAGCAGTCCGGCCCCCTCCCCCTGGCTAGCCACCCCTATATATTGTTTAGCATGACGTCAGATGGTATGGAATACCCCTTTGGCTAGTTTGGGTCACCTGTCCTGGGTCTGTCCCCTCCCAGCTCTTACTGCACCCCCAGCCTGCTCGTTGGCAGGACAGAGCAAGAAACTGAGATGTCCTTGGCTTAGTATAAGAACTGCTCTGCAGCAATTAAAACATCGGGGTGTTATCAGCACTCTTCTCATCCTAAGCCAAAACACAGCATTCCACCAGCTACTAGGAAGAAAATTAATTCTGTTCTAACTGAAACCAGGACAAGAGGCAAGCACCTTCCTCTGTATTTGCTTGGCATTCATGAAGAATACACCTCCAACTAGGTAAATATTTCTGACCACTATTGATACATACAGGAGTGGGAATTGGATTCTTTTTGAGAAGCTGAAATGATTTTGTTTTGATGTTTTTGCAATAAGAATTTTGGATTCTCATGTTGAAAGTGTTCTGTCTGAAATTTTAGCTTCTTGTAGTGATTTTGAATGATTTTAAATGGCTGAAAATTAGATGTATGATTTAACTCAAGCATTGGCAGGAGGGAGAAAGGAGCAAGAAAGAGAGGTCTTAGGAAATGTTACTTCCCTTAAAAGACACTTTAGCCAAGCAAATACAGATATTGACAACAGCTGCTTGGTTGTCATCCTAATAATCTTTGGAGGGTGGAAGTCCTTTCTCAAGGGTGGTGCTGTAAATTGCTGAAAGTCTATTTCAGCATTACATCAGGGCTCTGACTCACTCTGGTGAAGCAAACAGCTTGGCATGAGATGTTGCCCTGTGCGGTGAGCTGCTGCTTGGCCCATTATTACTCATCTGTAAGGGCGCTGGCAACAGGAAGGAGACCTGGTGCTTCTTGTTTGCTCTGGCATGCATCCCCACAGGCTCCTTGCAGCTCTGTGAGTCTCTGTTTTATTACGGAGGTAGGCAGACGTGGACTCACCTAGTGCAGCTTCTTGACAAGGTGCAAGCATGAAGCACAGAGCTGGTGTGCCCTCCTTTGAAGGCTGAAATTCAAAACAAATGATGATTTAATACAAGTGAGGCTTTATTTAAACAAGTCTTTGTATTCTGAGGAAACAGAATAAGAAGTGTGGAGCATATTGTTTAAAGCATTTGGGAGCAGCAGCCAAGTGTGCCATTTATTCAGTTAAAGAATCAAAATGAGCCTCTTACCTTTTCATCTCAGCTTCCCTCCCCTCTTTAGTTCTTTTGTCCTCGATGGTTTCTATTGATCCTTTCTATCCTGGAGGAGAATGAAGCAGCATTTGAAGTATCTTTTTCCTCCTCCTTCTCCAATGACCATCAGGACACCCTGCAGAGACACATGGGAGGCAGAAATTGTTCTTCTCCTCCCATCTGAATAGCATTATCTCCAAGTCCCTGCAGGTTGCCTGGCTCTTCAGATGTATTTATATTGATTGGAATGGGGAGTTTAACCAACAAATTCAAAACATCAAATACACTGCAGAAACTGATGCTGAGAATTAAGACCCCATTGCGGGGTAGAGCTGCACTGCAAGCGGAGTCACCAGTGGCTCTCTGTTCCTGAGGTGTCACCGTGCTGTCGGGTGGGCTGCATTCTTCAAATGGCTGCAGCTACTTTGACAACAGGAGCTGGTTTTCAAATAAAACTTTCAACAAATAGGAGCTGGGCCTTGGGCCAATGCTCACCATGGTAAGCATCTTCCTCCTGTCTGAGTGGGAAGGTAGTGTACAACAGAAAGGTCTGTGGGTCTGGTATCAGGGGAGAGATGTTTGGCCAGAGAGTCCACTCAAAAAATAAATGAAGTTTAAACTCACACTTGAGGTACACCTTTCCTGTGGCAAGAAGGAAGTATATGGCATGCATTTTCACTAGAAATATTCTATTTTTTTTAATTTTCAGACAATGCATATCTGTGCTGAGAATTGTTTTTTGGCAGCAAAGGGCAGGAGGAAAAAACATAGCAAAAACGTATGTGGGAAGCAGACACATTTTGTAAAGATATTCTTTGAGCACTTCCAAGCAAATATTTCCAGGGACAACCAAAAATAAGATGGGAAAAAATAGAACTGCCTCAAAACCAAAAGAAAGATTTTTCCAGTCCCCAAATACACATTCTTCATGATGTGAATCAACAGGAATCAGAAATCACTACTCCAGATCAACAACTCTGGGGACTGTTCCTTCTTCAACGCCACATAAAAATACCTTGGAAATCTGTGCTGCTGCTTTTCCAGCTCCTCCCTGGTGAGTCCTGTGGCTCCACTTCAGAGCAGATTTGCCTGAACATCTCTGGCCTCTTGCTTGCAGAAGAGCTTCCTTAAGAGGAGTCTGGTTATTGTCACAGTCACTGTGAGTGCTGAAGTGTGCTTATTGGCCTCTTCCAGACTGAACCTAGCTAAAAACCATTTTCACTCAAGCATGCACGGTCTGTCCCCAGTACTGCACTTGGGCAATGGAAAACCAGGAACCCCTGCTGCACGGTGTGCCAGATGGAGCAGCTCTCTGCAGTCACTCAGGGAAACTGCACAAGTAAGTTACTCCATTAAATCTGATGGAGACTAAAGACGGGAAGGACAGAAAGACTGATACAAATGAGCTTGTCTGCCAGCCTCCCTTCCAAGAATGCTGTCTTGCCCTGTGGCACTGGTGGCAAGAGAGGTGGCAAGACCTATCTGCCAGCAAAAGTTTCTTTGAAGAGATTTCACATTGCTCGTGGTTATTGATTTGATATTCATAACGAAAAAATACGTTTTGATTTCTGCCAAAATAAGGCTGTTCTCTTTATTCTGGCTTTATTTATGCTTTATTTATGCCCCCCTCCTTCTCTCCTCTTAAACAATAGAGTGGATCACATAAAGATGTAAAAGAACAGGGAGTTTAGTGGGTGGGAAGGTGATCAATTTTTAGTCTATTAAAAAGGTTGAAATTGAAATTGTTGTGATTTGGAGGGAAAAAGGAGGCACAATTTCACTCCCTTCAAAGTGTCTTGTCAAAAAGACAGTTTTCTCCTCCCAGCTGATTCTAATTCTGTAAGTCAGTGAGATGAGAGAAATCTCTTTTGTCTACAGAGAAGAATAACATCGGACAAAGCAAAGCCCATGGCTCTAATTAGTCCTTCTGACAAGGCAGCAATCAACACAACAACAGCTTGCGGTTGGACATGCTCCCTAGATCATTTCACAATCAAAGCAATTGCTAATATGTGAGTGTAACATGCCAGTGTGTGAGGGTTGTCCCTGTGTTGTGATATGCAACCTGAGCTGCTCTTTCCTCTCTACCTTTAGGCACCTCATTGTCTGTGCTCACTCCCAGTTCTGTGATGGGTAATCTGAATCCTGTGCTGGAAACCTTCAAGGGAAATAGCCATTATGTATTATGATAGCACAAGTTTAAGTGATCATTAAACAGTAGGAGTTACTATTTGAAATCTATATCCTCACTAACCAGACCATTCTGTTTCACCCTGGGTAAAATCTACCCCTGAGAACAAGGGCAAAGCATAATTTAAGCTCCACTAAACCCTCAAGAAATAACTTCACTGATTCTGAACACATCAATCAATTTTTTTTTTTAAATAGAACATAAAACCTAACAAATTGTAACAGGGCTTCCATCAGTATCAATTCCCTCTAATAGTAAAGCCTGTATATCTCTGCTGATAGTGAGCTCTAAAACGTATCTTGAACAGAACAGAAATAGAAAACTAAACAAATTCTGAAGTATTAAAATAAGAGGAACACTAAAATCTTGCATTTGTAGCTAACAGGGATTTTGAAAGGAGGTTGATAGCATCATCCCTGGTTTAGAGATGAGGAACAGAAGTGCATTATGGTTTTCCCAAAGGCATGTGGAAGGTTAGTGGCTGAAGTGACTGCTGAGCCCTCATCTACTACTACCCCAGTCCCCAGACAGTATTGCCTGCATGTGTGCACACTTCAGACTCCTAGAGAAGTTACCAAAGCAGGTTAGGAAGGGGTAGCAAGCTACTGCATATCTAATTGTCAGAGAAAAAGGGAAAAAAGATAATCAGAAGCATGCCACAATTGTCTTCTTCTCTGCAGCCAAGGAGATCTCGATTGATTTAGTGGAGCAGTTGATTAGCTGCTCCATCTTGTTGGTGAAGGGAAACATGATCTGGGCCATGAATTAATATCTGTGAATTTATCAAAGTAATCTGGTTGCCTAGAGGACAGGAGCCAGAGGCGTATGCAAATTTCTGAAAACATTGTGACAGACATGAAGCCCAAATTTTGGGACATTGACAATCTCGAATTGCGAGTACTGGTTGAGTACTAGCTGATACTGAAGAAACGTGGGAAGCTTTAGATGCTTTGCCAGCTGACTTCACTCGCTGTCTTCGTGTATAGTCAGTGAAGAGAGACAGCCTCCTCCAAATCCTGGTCTGGGTGAGCCAGGCTCTCATCCATGACTGCAGGAGGAGTCAGGGAAAGGCTGAGCACCTACATGAGCCAGGGCAGGCAGGCTGAACACCCTGCCAGGGCTTCAGAGAGGATGAGCAGCAGCCATCCAGGAGACCAGGGGCTTGGTTTTTAGGTAGGAGCCTCTGTTTATGTAGACTTGGCAGGCTGCAAAATCTGAATCCATCCTAGGTTACAATTTGCTTCTGTGCATCTGAGCAGTAGAAAGGGCTGAGCGGATGCAGAGCAGTATCTTTCACCCCTTAATTTCTTTCTTGTTAGGGTAATGGCCTGACACTTTTCTCTGAGCAGCAGTTAGGCTCCTTCTGGCTAGAAAGACCAATCTTTAATGTCACGAACTCAAATTTGTGCCTCTCAGGCTAATTTTAGAATTCAATTATGATCAAGAAAAAATCTTGAAAAAAAATAACAATAAAAATTCACTCCAGATACCTCAAAGAAGACAGAGCACAAACAGCAACCAAAATAGTCTTGGCTTAACTGGGGAAAAAACAGTTTATCTTGATTTGCCTCATATGAGAATTTAGGGAGAAGAATGAAAAATACTTGCAAAAAGCAGAAAACTTCATTTCTTCTTCAAGATCTAGTAATTCTGAAAAATACAGTGAAAATATATCAGAGGAGAAGATCTTACTGTCCCCAGATGGAGTAAGAGTGAAATTAGCAAATGGCACATTAACATATTTCTGCTTACATTCCAGCCTTCCCACAAAGGGAAATGTTATGGAGAATTAATTTGTGTAGTTTACAAGCTTCCTGGGTTTTGCTTGGAGTTCAAGACAATGAACCTCTGCATCTGAGACAGAATCCATTCAAAAAAAAAAAAAAAAAAAAAAAAACAAACAACATGGAGACCTTCACCTTTCTGGTGGATCTGAGTCTAAACTTCGGGGTTATTGCTGTAGTTTTTAGAGTCACCTTGTGTGAGCTTCGGAAAAAGACTTTACAGAATCGGGTGAGAAGTGGTTTTCACATCCTGACAGAAGTTACACTTCCTGCCCCAAGGAATAGTTAACACTTTACACAAAGTGCAGTAAAACAGAGAGGTGCCCGATCATCTGAAGATTTAGGGCACTAAATGGCCCATACACCTTGAACTGTCTGCTCTAAATAATGGATTGTGGAACAGCTTCAAACCAGGAATCTGCAAATCTTTTAGCAAAAGAGCTCCTTGGAGATGAGAGAGACCTAAGGTGGCCAGAATCATAAAAGCAAAAAGCTAAGAGGACACCAAAGATGTTATCTGGGCAACCTGCTCTGAGAAAGGATTAACTGTGCTTTCACTGTCTGGGACAGCTGGGTGTCACCCCTTCTGAAAACCTCAAATCACAGAATCACAGAATCACAGAATTTCTAGGTTGGAAGAGAACTCAAGATCATAGAGTCCAACCTCTGACCTAACACTAACAGTCCCCACTAAACCATATCCCTAAGCTCTACATCTAAACGTCTTTTAAAGACCTTCAGGGATGGTGACTCCACCACTCCCCTGGGCAGCCTATTCCAATGCCTAACAACCCTCTCGGTAAAGAAGTTCTTCCTAAGATCCAGCCTAAAACTCCCCTGGTGCAACTTAAGCCCATTCCCCCTCATCCTGTCACCAGGCACATGGGAGAACAGACCAACCCCCACCTCACTACAGCCTCCTTTGAGGTATCTGTAGAGAGCGATAAGGTCGCCCTTGAGCCTCCTCTTCTCCAGGCTGAACAAGCCCAGCTCCCTCAGCCGCTCCTCGTAGGACTTGTTCTCCAGACCCCTCACCAGCTTCGTCGCCCTTCTCTGGACCCACTCAAGCACCTCGATGTCCTTCTTGTATCTAGGGCCCAAAACTGAACACAGTACTTGAGGTGCGGCCTCACCAGAGCCGAGTACAGGGGGACGATCACCTCCCTAGCCCTGCTGGTCACACTGTTTCAGATACAAGCCAGGATGCCGTTGGCCTTCTTGGCCACCTGAGCACACTGCTGGCTCATATTCAGCCGACTGTCCACCAATACTCCCATGTCCTTCTCCGCCAGGCAGCTTTCCAACCACTCATCTTCCAGCCTATAGCTCTGCTTGGGGTTATTGTACCCCAGGTGCAGGACCCGGCACTTGGCCTTGTTGAACTTCATACAGTTGACCTCAGCCCATCGGTGCAGCCTATCCAGATCCTCCTGCAGAACCTTCCTACCCTACACACGTACCTAACTTAGTGTCATCTGCGAATTTACTGAGGGTGCACTCAATCTCCTCATCCAGATCAATAAAGATATTAAAGATGACCAGTACCTGTACCAAGCCCTGAGGAACGCCACTAGTGACCAGCCTCCAGCTGGATTTGACTCCACTCACCACGACTCTTTGGGCCAGGCTATCCAGCCAGTTTTTAACCCAATGAAGCGTATGTCAGTCCAAGCCAAGAGCAGCCAGTTTCTTGAGGAGAATGCTGTGGGAAAAGGTGTTAAAAGCCTTGCTGAAATCAAGGTAGACCACATCCACAGCCTTTCCCTCATCCACCAAGCACGTAACTTTGTCATAGAAGGAGATGAACCATAAAATTCTATAAATGTGTGAAAAAAAACAAGCAGTTTGGGAGTATGGGAGCCAACACTAATTAACTTGTCCTGTGGATTATATATATATATATATATATATTCATTTTATCTATTGCTTCGTGTAGTAAATTTACTGAATCATTCTAACTACTTACTGATTGGCTGCTGGTACACTGGATCGGAGTCTCTCTGTCATCGTGGGCTCATTCATCGGTGCCAGCATCCATCTGTAATGCTGTGGCCCCTTGTATTCTTTATCCCTGGGCTGTCTGGCTGACACCAGCTTGCTAGCTGCTCCGCAACACGACCTTCCTTAGGTTCTTCCCTCCAGGAGTAAAGCAGCAGCGCCATCAAAATTACCAACATTTTGCTACTTGCTTTGTAGGATTGCTAGTGCTGGTGGGGCTCATTTGGTGGATGCAGAATGGGATAATCCAGTTTTATGTAAAGAATTGCTTTATTCCAGTTGCATATTTAAATCAAACTTCAAGAGTAAACTCCCCGAAGAGCCTGCTCTGAGCTCGATGGAGTTCATCGGAGTCACAAGCCTATGCCAAATGCCTCATTACATCTTGCCCAAGGTGGGCTGGGGGGAGGCTTTGGGAAACCCTAGGGGGCTCTGTCCTTTGAGTGCCCTTCCCCCAAGGTGTCCACCCAGTCTGTGCCCTATGGCATTAAAGGGAAGAGTCCTCTTTAGCAGCCAACAACCATGAGTTCTGGGACTCTTGGTGTTTATTATATTGGGATTGAGAAGGCAACAAACCTCCTGCCAGCCTTTTTCCCTTGCTGGGATGTCCAAGCCATTCACCGGCCAGGTGTGAGCACACATGGCATGTCATCAAGCCTCACCAACCAGGCTGTGCCTCTGCTCAGCAGCAGGGGCCAAGCCATGTGGAGGGGTGACCCCACATCCATCCTTCCTCAGCCTCAGCAGAAATCTGACCCATCTCAACCATGACTACAAAGCCCCTAGAAAGGTCATCATGTGACCCCCATGGGGCAAATAGACCAGAACTGGTTATGAATTAAAATGAGAGTTTCCAAAGCCCATTTCTTTTGTTAGAAATATTAAATTATTAGTAGTATGTTAATGAAGTTCATCTAGGTCACCCGAACTCTCTTTCAATTGTTTAGTAAATTACTCACTGAGGGGCTAAATTGAGCAAAGGTGGAAAATTATTTAAACATGCTGGTGGCTGGCTGGTATCCAAGCATGAGAAGAGGCCATGCAACAGCTAACAAGTGGCCTGGGGACACCACAGAGGTGGGGCAGGATGGTGGGGACTTGAGGTCAGATACAGGGCAGGAGTGTCTGGGGAAGCTCCTGTTATCCTACAGATAACAGATACACCAGCACACGGGTCAGCACACCAGCCCAGCTCCTGAGATGAGCCCTCAGGCAGGGAGGGGTGAGAACCTTATGAATGTCCATGAATATTTGTTGAAATAGGCCTGATAAGAAGTGTGGCTGGTAGATGTTGGTTTTGTCTTGGGTTTTAAAAGTGGGGGCGTCAGTGAAACGTGTACACACTGGCACTTTGGGTTTTTAATGGCTTTTGGCAGAAGACCTAAGCTTTCAGCTGTAAATGCTGAGGCTGATGTATTCTGGGTCAGCGTACTCCAGTCACTGCCCTCTGCCAGCAAGACAGATGTCAGCTGCAAATGCAAAACTTCAGAAGAGCAGAGAGGGAATGTTCATTAATCTGGACGAATAAGCCAAGTGTCTCTGTAGTCTTGAGAAAAAGACCTTACTTCTCCTGGGCTAGGAAGGGAAAACGAAATGCTGCTCTATGCTTCCCCATCTGGACATGCCTTCCTCTAGAAATAACCTGTCGTTGGTTTTCTCAGCAGGATTCAGCTACTGGGCCTGGGCGTGTTGTACATTCAGCCCTTCCACATCCTCAGAATCACAGAATCACAGAATCACAGAATTTCTAGGTTGGAAGAGAACTCAAGATCATCGAGTCCAACCTCTGACCTAACACAAACAGTCCCCACTAAACCATATCCCTAAGCTCTACATCTAAACGTCTTTTAAAGACTTCCAGGGATGGTGACTCCACCACTTCCCTGGGCAGCCTGTTCCAATGTCTAACAACCCTTTCGGTAAAGAAAATCCTCCTTCAGGTACAAGGTGAGAAGACACAGCTCACCCCAGTCCTGCCTGTGAAGGTTTTCTCCCACCCTTGCTCTTGGAGTGGGTGTGCTGCTTCTGTCCGCAGCATCCCTGACTCTGCCCTGTAGGATGCCAGGTCAGTGCAAAAACATGGCCAGTGAAGAAAAGGGGCAGGTTTTGGTAGCTGGTATCTCTCCTGTCTGAGACAGAGCCAAATCCTTTAGAAATCTGTTAGGGTATTGGAGGAAAGGAGGGGAGAAACAGAAAAAGAGTGATGCCAGGCAGAAAGGCTACATCATCATCACACCAGGAGAACCAAGCATCAGCATCACACCAAGAGAGGCAAGCATCTGCCGATTAGGGCATTTCCTTAGAAGTCTTAAAATCCAGATTTAAATGCATCTTCTGCCTGAATCAGATATCTTGCATATACGATTTCTGAAAAATTGTAACAAGTTCTGGAATGTTCCTGAAATGCTGCTCTTAATAGTCCTGTATGTAAATGATCTGGAGATGCAGGTTTTTAAATGTTTGACTTGAATAGCTGTTGTTTAACATCCTCTTTAATTATATTGAATTATTTCTGTGCAATCAAACATTGCTTAGGGCCATTGGAAAGTGAAGTATTTCATTATCATTGTAGGATATGAATACATCATCCAAATTCTTTCCAAATGCAAAACTGAAATATTTATTGACTACTTCTGCTTACTCTGTGTTGCAAGGCTCATTTTCCATCCTGTCTAGTACTGGACACATTGGAACTGATTCCAACTGAAATGTTTAGGCACAATTCAGTGTGCTGTCAGCAGCAAAGCAAACGTGATTTTTTTGTATACCATGTACTTATTTCCCTGGGAAGATCTGATTGTGAAAACCTAAGGATTTATGGGCATTTTTTTATCATTTTAGTGTTGATTCCTAACCTTAATTTTGTGGGTAGATGGATAGATGGGAAGTGAAAAAGAAACTCAAGGAGTTTTTGTGCAAGAAATTAATAAACAAACCTCCCAGGCTTTAGACCTGGGTTTGTCTCTTGACAAGAAAGCACCCCATTTGTGTCACTCCTGATGGTGCTAGTCTAGCTTCAGCAAACCCTCCAGTGATGGAAATTGTACTTTTTGTGCATTCATATAAAGTGCACAGCTCCTGAATGGGGAGGGGAGGAATCCTTAGATTTTTCTAAAAAGAATTTGAAGTATTCTCTTGTAAACAAACACAAAGGATGCCCTTTGAACAGGACAGGATACCCCAGGATACATTTTTATCCCTGTGCTGTTCAGGGATACCAAGCATGTCACTCCCATCAAAACAATGGGAGACAGAAAGAGCAGAGAGTTATTTCTGAGAGTGGCCTTAACTTGTACATATGAGAAGGTTTTAAGGAGTAAATGAGGAACCCAGCTGCTGCCTGTGAGCATCATCTCTGTGCAGGTGTGATCACTTCAGTTCTGCGAGGGCTTTAGCTCCCATTTTGCCTGCAAAGCAAGAGACGTTTCCATACCTCCCTGCCCTGAAAATCACAAACTCTATTGTAATGACATTGCCTTCTCCTTTAACAGATGATTTTTCTATTCATTGCTTCAGTTTGGTCCCTATCCTTCTATTCGGTATAGGAAGAGGAAAAACAAACACTTTTAACACTTTGCATTTGCTTGTAATGCCTCTTTGACACCGTATCACAAGAGCCTGGGAGCTGTCAGAGCCATAATATGCAACATCAAATTAACATTTGTGTTTTCTGAAATGGTAATTATACCCTTTTGTACTGTGCTGAATTTGTATTTTTTCAAGTGTAAAAGTGGAAGTGGCATCGGAGGTGTATTTCTGAGCCACTGGTATGGGGCGTTTGCCCAAGAGCTTGGTGGGGAGGCTTCTGCAGATCCGGCAGACCGCAAATTGAACATGAACCAGCAAGGCTTGGCATAGGACTGTTGTGGCTCACAGGCAGCCACAGCTGTGACATCTGTGTCCTTGCAAAAATGACTCAGAGCATCCCCTGATGGACAGCAGGGTATGGTTCTTGGCCCAGCAGGAGCAAGTCTGGAAACCAAACATTTAAGCTTGGGTTTGATAAATGGGCTGATACTGCACAGTGCCTGCAGGGGCAGGAGGCTGCATACAGTGATGTGCATGTTTTCATTCAGTCTTTGTTCTCATTAGCACATGAAGACTGGCCAGAAGTCCATCATCTATTCAAGGTAGATAGAAGACACCTGATAAGGTAGAGAAGGCAGAGCCATTAACCTGAATAAACACACTGATGTTCTCTTCCTGCTGAAGCCTATCACGACAGATGACAAGAGACGCAGACATGTCCTGGGTGTAGTCTCTAATCGTGCAGAAGGGGAAGCAATGCTGCACAGCATTAAACCGGTTACTTCAGTAGCAGCAGGCTTGAAGGAGAGCATCCTTGCCTACCTGTGATGTATGTAAGGCCTCCATCACTTTCATCTCTTTAATGCTGAACTTGCAACAGCTCTGTGAAGCTAAGTGCTGTCAGTTCCCCATCACAGCAGGCAAACAAAGTGCCTGCATACCTTCAGACACCTTTTCTCCCTGCTGTGACTGAATACAGGAGAGGCACACCATGGTGGGGAGCCTGGAGCTGAAGTGGGAGTGGTGGGAAAGCCTCTTGTGTGCCACGTTGTGATGGGACCTCCACCCTGAAAGAGGCTGATTGCTGGGCTGAGGCTGAAGGCTGAGGTCGCATCCATAAATGAGGGTCATCTCTGGCACTTGTGGACATGGGTACCTGGGTACCACCTGCCCGAAGAAGGCTGCGCTCTGCAGGGAAATGCTGTGTACCATGAGGAGGGGGCAGCACTCCCTTATGTTCCTTTCTGTCCTGTGAAGCAAGCACTGTGCTGGGAGCACCAATGCTTCCTCTGGTAGTCCAGTGTCTCACCTGCAGCCAAAGGTGGGGTATTTTAAAAAGTAAGATTGGGAAGATAAAGAAGAGGGCCAGTCTTTCAGCAGCACAAAGCCATCTGCCCTCACAGAAACCGTAGGTGCACACCTATTTGTTCTTTTCCCTCTACACCTGGAATTTCCAAACAAAGGCCACAACATATTCTTCCTCTGGACCCTGAAGGGCAGATAATCATCTGCCTTTCAGGCAGCTGCCTCCTGATATGTACTGAGCATGGACCTTGTGGGTGTACAGCCCTGTGTAACATGTCTGCAAAGTAAGTAACAGACATTTCTCTTTCAGGTTCTTTGTGTCAATGTAAAAATGATACTGCACAAATGCATCCAATACTTTCACATACCATTATAGAGCTCTTCACAAGATTTATGAGCTGTTGGACTTCTACACACATTTCATATTGCCATAGCTACTAATTATTAATAGCACCCTGTAATGAAGGCTAACAGTGTGCCTCTGGAGGAAGGGGAAGTGCTGTAGCTTTTGACTCTGGCCACAGCATTATTCAGCATCAAACCTGAAGGCTTCTGATCGGCCCAAGACATGGAAACTGCCCCTTTCAGCCTGCAATGAAGCAGGGCATATCTGTACAGGAGTTCACCACCTCTTTGCACCCCTACCCCATTGGCTTTCTCTTCTTATGGAAGGGGTTAAGCTTTAATATGCCTCCACTGTTCCCTGTCTTTTCTTGTGACGCTGAGGTGGCTGTTCAGGCAGCTCCACTATTGTGAACAGGCACCGAAAAAAAAAAAAAATAATGTCATTACAGAATAAAGATGTTACAAAACAGAATAAAGACTGTTCATTCTTGAAGTCCCCCTGGTGATGCAAACATACTGGAGGGCCAAGAGGGATCCTGTTCCTTGCAGTTCTGTCCACATGGACTAGCTGAGGGAATCTGTTCTCTCTGACTTTTTAAGGCAAATGTAAGAGTAGAACAAGGTGTCTTTGGGACTTGTAAGAAACTAACATGGTTCAGAGATAAAATAATGTAAAATACTTTGCCCAGGGCTGGAAGGAAGCACATTTATTGTGGGTTTAGAGTACTGATCAAATGCAGTCTATTTAATTGCACTTCTGACCCATCCTGTTCTCTCTCCTTCTCTCTGTTCAACCAAGATTACAGCTTCCCTGGCTCAGTGCATCTCAGCCTGTCACGTCATACTAAGCCCATGATGTGACATGGGGGAATAGGAGGTGACAGGGCAGGAACAGCCTGATGGGCTGTGAGGCTAGAAACAGAGGTGAAGTGAGTTATTTTGGGATGGGATGCCAGCAACTGACAGCTGATACAAAACTGACCTGACAGACGAAAGGGCCAAGCTGCTGTTTTCAGCCTTGGCAAAGGAACTTACTGACCTTTAACGATGATTTGGCACTTCCCCACCACCAAGTCACAGAGATCCAGCAGTGAATGGGCTGATCTCCCAGCCTGCGGACAGATGATCTTGTGTTGAAGGCACAGTGTGCTGCAGGGACACTTCAAACCTTAGCTCCTGTGATGGCTTCCAAAAGGCCCAGGAGCAAATTGCTCCAGGCCAGAGTCACCTTAGATCTAGGTGCTGGGAGGATGTCTAAGGCATTAATTTCAGCTCCTTTCTAGTCAAGAGAGACAAGCATGCTCAAGGAGTGGCACTGCCCATTGCAAGACAGACATCTGAGATGCCTGGAGATGAATTGCCGTCTGGTGCTCCCCATATTGCCATCTGGTGTTCCCCATCTCCATACAGACCTAGAGGTGTGTGTCTGCATGTGTGGTGGAGGGGGACTGGTTTGGATCAATGCAGGCATTTAACAATTAGATATGTGAAGCTAAGGGAAGTGAATCCCTCTCTTTGGATCTCTGCGTGTCATCTACAAAAGAGACAGGAATAAACTCTCCTCTCTCAATTTTTTATGAATGTTCTTTAAAACTGGCATGTCTTGTATGGTCCTTGTTTGGAAGCAGGGACTGAGCCAAGGCTTTCAGGTGAATATTTTAGTTGAAGGTGGAACTTTCAGGCCTCAAGGCTCTGGAACAAATCCCCACAATGTCTCTGCATGACCTGTTTCTGCACCATCCTCCACCTGCCCCGGTGTCAAACACAGCATCTCGAGATCCTGTGAACCAGCTCTTCTGCTTCCTGGAGGAGGAGAAATTCTGCTACTGTCAGTGGGAACTGTAAGTGGTGAGGCAGGAACTGCATTTAGCTCATAAAGCTTTTGAAACATCCAGTGCCTAAGTGAAATCACAGAAAACCTGAATAAAGCAAAGTTGTCCAGGGCCTTTTTGACTTACTCTTCAAATAGGATTGCTTTCTAACACAAACTGCTCTGAACTATGGAGAATTGCTGGAAGACTCTGCAAATTCATTTGCCTTCTGGTATGCAACAATGCCTTTGATTGGTAGCTGCATTTTCCCTAGATATTTAGCCATAATACAACTTTTGCAGGTGCTGTTGTGACAATACATAATAATTGTTATATATGGAGTGGTAATTCGTGTGGAGAAAAAGGTTGATATTAATAAAGAAGGGGGAGATTTGGGAATGTGGCCATGGGAGTTGGAAAGCCCCGTGGTTGAGATAACATTAGACTATTAACGATGAGGCCATCAGAAATATAAGAGAAGGGTGATTCAGGAGACTCCATGCAGTCTAGGGTTGCTTGTTCTCCAGATGGTTCTCTTGTTCTCCAGCTGTTAAGGCATGGATGTTTCTGGGTGTTTGCTGTTGTTGTTTGACCAATGAAAAGTTGTTTTGAAAAGAACTGCTGTGGAGAGAAGGGTATAAGAGGGGAGCCTGCCCTGAAGATAAAAAAAGGCAACACGATGACGTCAATAAAGAAGCAGGAAAAAGGAGTGAAGAGGAACAGGCTGGCATAAAGTATACCAGGACGGGAACAGGCACTTTGATTGCCTCATGAAGCTAGGTTCGGCCAAACTCAGCAAACCGCTCAGAGAAGCTCGTACAGAAAGTCGCTGGAAATAGGCACACTGGAGCTGGAGAGAAGCTCGAGCTGAGAGAAGTGGACCTGTGCACACAACTGCCCCTCACTGGTAAGCAGTTACGCATTATGGGGAATCATACGTCCTTAGGAACAAAGACTGTCCTGGGAACCTTACGGCTTATTCTCTTTATTAACAATCGGACAGATTATGAGCCTGAAATATGGGACCAAACTGAGGTCAAGGTGTGGGACTCTGCAACTAAAAATGACAAGGTTGCAGTGGGATTGCTCGGCACCTGGCGAACAATCTCTGAGGCCTTAAAGAGCCATGTGGTGCCACAATCACAAACGTGTGGTTTGCCAGATAGTGAGGGAGCTGCGGGCTCCTTTACTGATCCAACTGCTACACAATCGCCATGGGCCCCTCTGCTGCTACAGTCATCGAAGGCTTTTGCTGTTATGCCCCCTGTTGGCCTGAACCAGGAGGCTTTTGACCCAGGCCTATTGGCCTTGAAAAAGAGATGGATATGCTTTTTCTTCGATCCGGGAAGAATGGGATACATAAGGCCAGAAGGCCGAGTTGCTTGACAACTTAAAGTGAGACATATTGTTCAAAAGGAATGGAAAATAGAGACATGTTTGTAGTTGATTAAAGATCGAAGCCGAAATTTCCTTGTGATATATTCTTTATTGCAGCGCTGGATGCACGAGGGATCTTTCCACCTATCGTGCATGTTCAAAGTGACAAACTATCTCATATTTATACAGCAAAACAATGAATATTCTATTAGCGCCTATACATATTCATTCCTTAACCCCGCCTACTCTCGCTTTGCATGCTAATTAGCTTATCAGACCTTGTGCTTGCTCAAAGCCTTCCAAGAATTGTGGGCCGGGGTCTTCAGAATGTGGGGAGTGGTCTTTGGGAGGAAGGCTGTAGGTCTTCCTCGTGATGCACTTTTCACCTTTTGCTTAATCAGTTGTTTTCCAAGCTGTAAAAATGCTGAGTTGGCTTTCAGTTTAACTGAGGGTCGGCAGACAACAGGATGTCTCAGTTCACAAGACATAACAGACAGTTGACTCAAGTTATCTCGTCTCAGCCTGACTGAGGGTTAACAGATAACGGGATGTTTTCAAATAACAAGATGCTTCAACATAACAGAAGGTCAACAGATAACAAGATGTCGTTTACTTTGTTCTCGCTTTTAACCACAAGTTTTATTCTATCCTAAAGTGAGTTTATACAATATCATAGTCAATAAAAGGAATAGAAAATGGAGACTGTTAAGTCATTAAACTTAAAGGATTGTTTGTTACCTTTTCTGATTTTACATATGTATAGGTATACTCTGATTTTGTATGTAAAAGCAATGTTCTATATGTTTAGAATGTTTGATGTTTGTGTGTGTGTGTTGGTGGATCGTAGGCTCCCCGCACACCCAGCGCTGTTTACTTGCCTTTTATACCTTTTATAAATATTCATTTATAAATATTACTAAATTCAGATTGAGTTGAGACTTCATTTATAACAAGATCATCTACTTCCTGCAGGCTGCCCAGCATCCTGCTTGTAGCAGATCTCAGGAGATAGCCTCCTTCTGTGTCGGGGCCTCCCAGGACTTGCTCACAGCACAGTTTTAGTGAAACCGTCTCCGCTGTATGCTCTTGTGTGTGGGTTGCAGCTTTAATGGGGGGGGGGGGGGGGGGGGGGGAGAGAGAGATCCCAAGCAATAGCTACACAGCAGCTCTGCAGTCAGGGAGCAATGATGGGGAGGTGGGGTGCCAGCACTGCAAAAACCACCCTGCTGCTTTGCGCACGGGTGTCTTCTGTGTTGTGTTTGCCAGCTGTAAACTTGAAAGCTCTGGCTCTAAACTAAGAGTGCTTTGTGAGCTGCACCAAGCACTCACCATGTCTTAACCTCCAGGCTGCTCGCAGTGTTAGCCCAACCTTTTCGCTGGCAGGTTACTGAAGCACTGCGAGGGGTGGAGATGCTGCTTTGCCTCTAGTGCTCTGAGAGCTTCAGGTGACAGAGACTGCACAGCATGTTGTAAAGATGGACATCCCTGTCCCTGAACAAAAGCAGAAAGTAATTGGTTCATGGGTGTGCAAAGAGCCTAGCAGAGAGGCTGACACACTGTTAGTATAACAACAAAGCAGGAAAGGCAGCCTGAGCCCCTGCAGGCTTCTTGCCTGCTGACTCCAGCTCAAATGTTAACCACAGTAGTCCAAATACAGTTTACTGCATATACATTGCTACTGCCCTTCTGGTCTTACTAGGAGATACCACCATGTTTTCTCTTTGAAAGATGTATGAGAGGTGTTTATGCTCCTCTTTTGGGGCTCCAGGTGGGATGTGCCCAGGTTCCCACGTAGTTAATATGTGAAAAGAGAAAGCTTCTGCAAACATTTGAAGTGAGGTGGAGGAAGATTGGGAGTGTAATATTAGCTATGTTACTGCTTTGTTAAACTGCTGCTGAAGGAGGCATGGCTCTTGTTGTGATGTGTGAAAAGGAAAAGAAAACAAAATACAGTAATGTAACCATCCTCTTAAGCAACATGTGTGGGAATAGAAATGTTGTTTTTGCAGAGTTACATTGTTTAGAAGGAGGGAATGTGCTACTGAGATATGCTTACAGTGATAAGAAAGTTTAGCAGGCGACCTAGTGAAATGCAGAAAACCAGACTCCTTAGGACAATTAGGTGAAAATCACAGTGTCAAGTCAAGTCAGATAAGTGAAGAAACATTACCACTTCAAGCAGTAAAAATATCAAAAGAAATTTGAAATTTAGCAGGCCAGCAACTGAAGGCCATGCATTGTTTGTGAAGCATCAGATAGATTGTGAACCTGGATTACCCACTCAGTGGGGAAACAGGGGAGGGTCCTGCCATCAGAAGGTATATAAACTGTGTTTTGGAACTAGTTGAGGCGCTCTCTCCTGCTTGTGGGGCGCCCGCCATTGCAATCGCGAATAAATTACTACTTCACTGAGATCCTCACCTGAGCCTAAGTTATTGGCTATGGAGTGTTTCTCACAGGCCCAGCACGTTGCAGAAGGAAAGACAATGAAAAACTTATTTTCTCAGTCCTGCCTCTAGTGATGGTCACCTTCCATGGTGACCACAGATCTAGGTGAATTCAGTACATGGACTGTGGGTAAGAAAGCCCTGTTGCTCACATTGAATTAAGCAGAATTGTGTAAAGCTCCTTAAGAAATAATCCTGCTTCCATTCCCACCCAACAAGTGCCATTTTTGCTTTCACTGATAATGTGAGACACAAAACTTGGGCTGTATTTCATAATAGGAAAACGTATATCCTGAGCCAGAGACGTGTCACACTTTTCAGTTCCTCCCTTCTCCCTCTGAAGGTGACAATAACCTTTCAGCAGCAGAGCTTCTTCTTAAGACATCATTTTCAATGTAGCTTTCATGCGGGGAAGAACAAGTGGGAAGTGGCTTTCCAGCTAGAACAGCTCTCCTGGCCCTTTGTACCCTGGCGAGCTGCAAGTCCCTGCTCTTGGAAGCGCACTGCTTGCACGTCTCCTGCTTGCAGGAGCTGTTGCATGAGCTACTGACGACTGCCATCTCTGCACACAGCAGGATGCCTTTCAAAGGTTAAACCAAATGTAGATTATTTCCACAGATAAATGCCTTGCCACATTTTCCCTTTTTCACAGATTTTCTTTTTTTTTTTCTTTGTTCTTTTTTTTTTTTCTTTTTTTTGGGGGTGGGGGGGAGCGGGGAAGAAGTGGCTTGAAAACTAGATGAGTAGGAAAAGTGAATTACATCAGTTCCGGTTTGCAATGAGAGAGCTCATTCAATCGATTTAAAGGAAGGAACTGTTCAGGTAATGATTTCAGAAAGAGGCTGAAATTATTCAATAAATAAAGGTCCCATCTTGCCTCCAGTTTAATTAGATTTGATACACTTCTAACTTCTCAGGATATAACATGTACACTGCCTGTGTATAGACAGCCTGGGGTACTGGATCCTTATAGTCCGTATGAGGCATTTGAGCAGCGTGGGTCTGACAGAGGATGGCCTGCAATAGATTCTCTGCCTACAGATAGACTGTTCAGGACTAAATATAATGGAATAATGTTAAGCAGCCTTTGCTGGTAAGACTAGCAGCTCTGCAAACTGAAGTTCTGTCTAATTGATTATTTCTGTTTCCATTGTATGGAAGGAAATAGTTTGTGAAACAGATAAGTGAGTTGAACTGCTGAAGGTGGTGGCAATTATGGGTAAGAATCCAGGGCACTTTGACTTCCATAGGGTACCCTCTGGTTGTTGTACCATGTTCTTCTCCCCTACACCTGATAGAAAGAAGGCATCATGAGTGTGGGGAAGGGGCATCTGAGAAACATGCTGTCATATTCTTGAATCACCTTGGGACGTATCCACCTGCAGGCACAATTAGAGCTATAGGAAAGCAATATTTAATATAATTAATTTTAAATTCACAGACACTGGTGTGTTAGAAAAGGAATAGATTAACATTCACTGTATGCCAAAATTACTGTTCTCTGAGATCTTTAACTCCACATCCTCTGGAGATGGCAATTTATTATGTTTATTATTTAAGGAGAAAGAGGTGTGA